TACATGCCCCGGGTGATTATGATGATGGAGAATTTGGTGGAATGAAGATTGGCAGGGAAACCGAAGTACTCGGAGAAAACCTGCCCCAGTGCCACTTTGTCCACCATAAATCCCACTTGACCAGGCCCGGGCTCGAACTCGGGCCGCTGCAGTGGGAAGCCAGCGAATAACCGCTTGAGCTATGGCGCGGCCACAATTCGTGACTTACTATGTGCTATCTCGGAACGAACGAGCAATCTTGTAAAAACACTGAGTGATTGGTTGACAGAATAGCCCTGATGCTGACCACATGTCGAGGTACTCAATGAACAAATATTGACTTAGGTTCCAATTTGTGGTGTTTGCTAAATTACTTTAAACTACGTGCGTGCTGTTGGCACCAGCCACCCTTTTCACTGCTGCCAATGTTGGCTTTTCATTACAAATTACAAGCTTTCGCAGTGATATCCATAAGAAGGGCCGCTTCTGTAATATTTTCCTGTCAGCTGCGTTATTGGTAGCCGGGATAGCTCAGTCAGTATAGAGACTGTCTACAGCCTGGACGGCGAGGGGTCTGACTTCGAGTCCCGGTAATTGAAAGATTTTTATTTTCTTCACAGTGTCCAGACCGGTTCTGGGGCCCAGCCAGCCTCCTATCCAAAGGGTTCCTGGGCCTCTTTCCCTGGAAGTAAAGTAGCCGAGACATAAAGCTGACCACTCTATTGCCGATGTCAAGAATACATGGATCTATACCTCTACTCCCCCATACGTCTTCATAGCGTAGTGCTCAGTTAAGCAGAGGGACAATTTTAGCTTATACTGTTCCTATTGGTAGCCAGGATAGCTCAGTCGGTATAGCGACTGGCCACGGGCTGGACGACCGAGGGGTCGGGTTTCGAGTCTGGGTAAGGCCAAGATTTTTCTCCTCTCCGCATCGTCCAAACCGGCTCTGGGGCCCACCCAGCCTCCTATCCAATGGTACCGGGGGCTCTTTCCCCAGGGTAAAGCTGCCGGAGCGTGAAGCTGACCGCTCACATCCATCTAGTGCTGAAGTTAAGAAAATGTGTATCTATATATTCACTTCAGGGTGTAGTGCTTAATTAGTCAAGCACAGGGTCAACTTTACCTTTACTGTTCCTATTAGCCCAAAATGGACGTCATATTCTCCGCCCCAGTTGCCTGTTGGGCCAAGATCTGTGTGTACACGAGCATTCATTGCCATATTTATTTCGATCCTGAAGATGGAGGCAGCACGAAAAAATCAAGGGCTGTGCCATAGCTCAGGCTTCCCACCGCGGTGGTCCCGGTTCGATCCAGGGGCATGTGGGATTTGTGGTGGACAAAGTGACGCTGGGGCAGGTTTTCTCCGAGTACTTCGGATTTCTCCTGCCAATACTCGTTCCTCCAACTGCTTCAAACTTATCATCCAGGCCTGGTACAATAGGCCAAATAGTGGCCGACGTGCCAAGCCGATTCAGTTTCTTCCCAATCACCAAGAAATTAAAAATGAAAAACACCCACACAGTACTAAGATCTAAAACCAGAGCTAACATATATATGATAATTCTAAATTATTGTCGGATGTTCCGTGGTCTACAAACGGAGACTCCGACAATAATTTAGAATCACTATGTACTTCCATGTACACTGAGTTGCTGAAGTTTCGACAGGTGTTGTTTCAGTCGGATCCTGTGAGCAGGGAGGAGGCGAGGCGCCGGGCCGTGTACCAGCTGCTGAACAAGGAGCAGCAGTACTCGCTGTGTCTTCAGTTCGGCCTCAGTAGATTCCTCGTGCCACTGTCGGAGCGCAGAGACCTGCTCAACGCCAGTGAGCACTACACCCTCTTCCAGAACGCCGAGGAGGTACTATCTGCACCTTCCCGGGGTTCTCTGCGAGCAACGAACTTATCACGAGGAAGAGTCAGTAAATAGGATACAAATGGAAGCAAAACAGCTTTATCGGACGTAATAGCTTTTCTGTATCTCTAGATAGCAGCACAATCCAGCTTCATGACGGTCTAGGTAGCAGACGGACATGCACATTTTCAGAAGTTGGTTTCAGTAGTCAAAATGGCGAACGTGATTGAGGAGTGCACTGCCGAAGAGCTAGGAGCCGGGATAGCGCAGTCGGTATAGCGACTGGCTACAAGCTGGACGACCGGGGGGTCGGAGTTCGAGTTCCTCTAGGGTTAAGAAATTTTTGTACTCCACATCGTCCAGACCTGCTGTGGGGCACACCCAGCCTACTATACAGTGGGTACTGGAGGCTTTCTCTCCGGGGGTAAAGCGACCGGGGCGTGAAACTGACGGTTTACCTCCAGCTAGTGCCGAGGTCAAGAAACGTGGATTTACACATCCACCCCCCCCCCCCCCACACGCTTTCATGGTGTCGTGCTTAATTAGATAAACAGAGGGACAAATTGCCTTATATATTTAATACCGAACAGCAGCGTTCTCTTGTGCGTATTCTGTGCTAAAACGGGCTCAGTACAGAGGCTATACATAAAGAAATGCTTCCTGTTTACTGTGGGAAGTGTCTGTCGCATAAAACGGTCTACAAGTGGGTGGTAAATATTTCGCTGATGGCGAAGAGGTTGTAACGGAGGTGCGGGAATGGCTGAGGCAACAGTCACAAGACTTGTATATCGCGGGTTTCGGCGCACTGGTAAAGAGATGGGACAAGTGTATCAGTGTACGTGGAGGATATGTCGAGAAGTAAATGTTTTCTTTTCAAGTTTGCAATATTATACGTTTTATATCCATCTGTGACCTATTTACTGTACAGCCCTCGCATTTAAGTGAGAATTTCGACGTCAGAATTTTTCCGTGTTTTTCCCTCGACCCTCTAGAGCTCGAGTTGGTGCCCAAATTCCACTTCCCACTTCATGCTTCAACATGCAGCCCTGCAAAATCTTAACTTTCAAATGTTGCCTTATTCTGGTGTGGTAATTAATTGCTGGTTTTCGCCAGCGCAGTCATTCTTGTTGAAATACCATCGTCACAAACTTCTGGATGTTGGATAATTCGATAGGTCGACACATGATACGTGTGAAGTATACACAGCGATAGATATTGAAGTTACTCTTATCTTTTCAGTGGTGACATCTCTTGTCTGTTACACAGTAAGGAAACGTTTAAGAAGAAATAAGTATAACAGTGCACTTATCTACCAAACTGGACTGAGTCACACTCCGAGGAAGCCCTAATTTGTATATGGCACATGACATGGTTTGCCGAACGCAGTGGCGGCGCAGTCTAAGGCATGAACCGTCTTTGCTCGCTCGAACGTTAGGATCGTGGGTTCGAATCCCACTCAAGGCACGGATGTCTGTTTGTGCGTTTATTCTGTGTTTGTGCTGTCCTGAGTGCAGGTAGCGGCCTTGAGACGGGGTGATCCCCCGTCCAAAGTGTCCTACCGTCTGTAGGCCAGGGCCCAACGAAAGGCTGTACTTTTTTTTTTCAATTTGATAATTTAAAGACGGTAGGACTCCTTGGACGAGTGATCAGCTCGTCGCAAGGCCTCTACCTAAACACAGGGCAAAACAAACACAGAAGAAACACATACACATACCAAACATCCATGTCTTGTGTGGGATTCGAAACCACGATCCCGGCAGTACGAGTACATGCCTTAGACCGCTCGGCTGCCATGACCGGCCTTCATAAAACAGCGAACCACAAACCGAGTCTTGGGAAGACAATTATTTGGATATCAGAAGGAATGAATCAAAGGATTGTAACACATTCAGTGTTGGAAGCTAAGACTGACAAAATGGCGGGCTGTACAGGGGCAACGCAGTAAAAATTCCCGACAAAGATTCAAGTTCCGAAATGAAATGAAGTAGTACCAAAACATTTTACGCGGTACTGCAGAAACCTCCAGTGATGCCGCGTAACGTGCCGTGGAGACGTCAGGTGTCACGTTCTACATGACGAAGAGGAGGTGGGTAGTGTGGGGCCCCCTAAAGGATGCACAAAGCTTAGACGGTTCCCCGAGCAACAGGTATCACCCATTCGAAAGGTTTACCAACCCCTATCTTGATGAGAATATTAACTTCAATTAATTGTATTAATTTTACAAGTTCAGCCACCACCACAACAAATGTTTATTAATTTAAACCTCACTACATATTTCGACACTTAAATGGTCATCTTCAGCTGTTGTTAGGTACACGATTAATTACCGAATTGTAACGCATGATCTTGTCTGAATATTACTTATCATCGCACTAGTACTAATTACTATATTCCTAGTTTACATACATACATAGGCCGCAAAGTGGATATATTCTATGTATATTTCCTATTGTTTTCTTATGTACTAACTTATTGGATATTGAATTAAATTGAGTTTCTATGTAAAATTAATAATTTTAAAATTGACTTAAAATTTATTTAAAATGTCGCGAGTTTAACTCAAGATTGAGTTAAATTGATTTAAAAATGTCGTGAGTTTTAATCTAAGACTGAGTTAAAATTTATTTTAAAATGTTGTGAATTTTAATTCAGGATTGATATGAAACTAATTTAAAAATAACATCAGCTTTAACTTAGGAATGAGTTAAAATTGATTTAAAAATGTCGTGAGCTTTAACTCAAGATTGAGTTAAAATTGATTTAACAGTGTCGTGAGCATTTAACTCAATTATTAATATTGTTAATTTTACATAGAAACTCATACCTAACCTCAATTTAATTCAGTATCCAATAAGTAGTATATAAGTAAACAATAAGAAGTATACATAGTATATATCCACTTTGCGGCCTGTGTATGTATGTAAACTATGAATATATTGATTAACACTAGTAAAATGATAAGTAATATTCAGACAAGATCATGCGTTAAGGTAAAGGTAAAGCTGTCCCTGTGCTTAACTAAGCATTACGCCATGAAGCCGTATGGGGATTGGATGTATAGACCCGCATTTTCTTCATCTCAGCACCAGTTGGAGGTGAGTGGTTAGCTTCACGCCCCGGCCGCTTTACCACTGGGGTAAGAGCTGCCGGTATCCATTGGATAGGAGCTTGGGTGTACCCCAGAGCCGGTATGGAAGACGTGGAGATTAGAACCTTCTTGACCCTACTGAGACGCGAACTCCGATCCCTAGGCCGTCTATCCTGTAACCAATCGCTATACCGACCGTGATATGCCGGCTTCTCAAGATCATGCGTTACAATTCAGTAATTAATTGTGTATCTAACAACACCTGAAGATGACCCTATAAGGGTCGAAACATGTAGTATGTTTTAAATTATTACATATTTTTTGCGTTCACGGCCGTACTTGCAACATTAATATCAGTCGTATTCACGCGTCTGGTTGCAAACAATAGAAATGTTCATTTCAGAAGACTGTATTCTTGGCGCGTCTGTTTCAGTTACTCCGGCTGACTGAGGACACCCTGGAGCAGCTGATTCACGACGACGCAGAACCCTACGGGCAGTCTCTGGGGAGGATTTACCTCGCCAAGGTACTGGGGCATGCACCGCCTGAAAGGTCCGGAACTTTGCATCAGGGAATCTTCTAAAGGGCCCTGACGGGGCGGTACAGCACTCCGAATTACTGGCGTTGTTGGGCATTCACCCATCGTGCCGGCCAACCCCTCACCTTAGCACAGAAACAGATACAGTTTCCGAAACGTCTTTTTTTAAGAGTACCGGGCGATGGGACGGATTCCAAAGACCCAGTAATCCCAAGACGTAGAGAAGCCCGCTGGTTTTACGCCTGCGTATTTGTATCACGTGAATGTGCGCTGTGCTACTGACGTTTCGGCCACTTCACGCGCCTCTCAGTCCACAGAACAGGAGATTAAGCGACATCGTGTTTGGTGAGCACTTGGACGTGTATGACCGCTTGCGAACACTTTGATGATCTCAGTGGCTCTAAAATGCCGATTAATAAATTGTCCCTGTACTCTGTCCTTTTTTATTTTCTCCATGGGCTGAGACTGAATCCACTTGAGACTATGGCCACTACTGGCCTATTGTACCAGCCCCCGATGATAGATGATTGTGGAACAGTCAGTGGAATGAGAATTGGCAGGGGAAACTGAAGTACTCGGAGGAAACCTTCCACAGTGCCACTTTCTCCACCACAAATCCCACATGACCTGGGCTCGAACCTGGGCCGCCGCGGTGGGAAGCCAGCGACTAACCTCCTGTGCTATGGTGTGGTCTTGTGCCTTGTCCTACTGACCTTGTTCTGAAAACTACATAGATATGAACTCACACTTCTTACTCGCTTTTACCCCTAAGATGGAGGGAATATTTACATGCGAAACGTCAGCTACACTGTCGATATCCACAAGTTTCAGAGACTCCAAGACCAGGCTNTGAGCCGATTGTCTAGAGAAAATGTGGGGCACTCGACATCTCACAACACCGTTGGCCTTCCCGGTCTGTTACAAGGATAGCTTCATACTTCTTTATTTTGATCCAAATTTCTTGTTAGAAAAATGTTGCTTTTAAAAATATTAAGCAGGTTAAGCTAGAGGTGCTCACAAACGGGCAAGAATCCCCTTAAATTGCCCGTTATTCATGTCCGATGCTAATACATCTTCGATGGCATTGACAATTGTCGTTAAACACTCCAACATTACATTTCACGAATATCCGATCACGTGTCTTCCAGTCGCTGCACACAAACAGTCAGGTATAGCGAAACTAACACACACATTCTGACAACGAGCCAGAAACGCCGGATAACACGAAGTATAATTTGAGCAACTTTATAAATTGCATAACAGCTGGAGACACTTCACTTTAGAAGGGGCCGTAGGAACCGCTTTATGAAGGTGCAAGTTGAGCAATTTGTATGCATTTTAATGACAATTACGTGCTGTTTAGTCTAAAAGCTGCTTGTATTCACATTTCAGTATGATACAGTACAAAGCAATGAATCTGCAGGTCGAGCAGAAAGCCTGGCGCTAACAGCAACCCTGTATTGCATTAGCAAGGCGAGCTCTTCTGTTTCGCTTTGAGGTGATGTAAGATGTCTTCCAAGTTTGGGATACACAGCCATAACAAAGCATTCGGAAGTGGAGAGTAGCTCTGGCACTTTCAAACGGCTGGCTAACATATTGTCACATGTTTGCTGGGACGGTCGTTGAGTGTGAACGACTCTGCAAACATATCCACTGCTAGGTAAAGGCACAATAAACGGTGACACAACAATGAAACACGTCTCACAGCGTAAAGTAACCAGTGGAAATACAGCTAAGAATGTTTTTCTTTTTTTTTTCTGTGCGACCTGCATCTATAACTACCCCGCCCAACAATAAGGGAACTGTTGGAAGCGATGTTTTCCGTTCGGTCCGTCCTGATGACTAGACTGCTGTTCTAGCAGGAGATACTAATGATAGTGCATGATCTGCTGTACTGGCCTGGACTGACAGAGGCCTTGTATGTATGTATCTATATATACAGCGTGATTCAGAAAGATGGACACAATTTCAGTTGGCTCCCTTAACTGTATGTTGCATTTGAATTCTGTGAAGTACATTTGAAAGAGGATGTAGTAAAGTTTCTAATACTACCGCTAGAGCACTCCAGCATCGCGTCAGTTGTAAGCGAGATGGCTACTATGCAACACAAGATTTTTTGCATTCGTGAGTTCAGTAAAAGTGAGTCTGCGACTGCGGTGCAGCGTACATTTCGTCGTAAGTTTAACGTCCAGCCTCCATCGAGGCTGGACGTTAACAATTTGATGAAACTGGCTCTCTGTGCAAGGGCAAAAGCCCGGGCCGATCGCGTGTATCGGAGGAGAACGTGGAGCGCATTCGAGTGAGCTTGGAGCGTAGCCCAATGAAGTCAACCCGTAGTGCTAATAGAGAACTTAGACTATCGCAAACAACTGTCTGGCGTGTATTGAAGCGCCGGTTAGTGTACAAACCATACCACCTACAACTGGTACAGGCTCCTCGCCCAAACGACAAGGTAAAGCGTGTAGAATTTTTTGACCGTATGCTCAAAAACATGGAAGATGAATTGTTTCTGCCTCGTGTAATTTTTAGCGATGAAGCTACGTTTCACCTAAGTGGGAAAGTCAACAAGCACAATGTTCGCATATGGGGGCTACAAAATCCCCATGCAACACTCGAACATGTGAGGAACAGCCCAAAAGTTAATGTGTTCTGTGCAATATCGTTAACAAAGGTTTATGGACCTTTCTTTTTTGATGAAAACACGGTTACTGGAGTAACATATCTTAGAATGCTGCAAAACTGGCTTCTTCCTCAAATGAATGGAGATTCAGGAGATTACATTTTCCAGCAGGACGGAGCCAAACCCCATTGGCACCTGAATGTTCGACGTTTCCTGGATGAATCTCTACCTCAACGATGGATAGGTCGCATGGGGAATGAAGACCTGGCACGTCAGTTCTGGCCACCGAGGTCTCCTGATCTCACACCCTGCGAATTTTTCCTGTGGGGATTCGTGAAAGATGCAGTTTACGTACCACCTCTTCCTACAAATTTAAATCACCTAAGAAACCGTATCACAGCTGCGGTGAACTCAGTGACGCAAGATATTTGTCATCGAGTGTGGGATGAATTCAGCTACCGTCTAGATGTTATCCGTGCAGCCGGAGGGGGGCACATTGAACATCTATAAACTTCCATGTATGTATAATCAAATGTAATTTACAAAAATCAAATACAGCACATAATTAAGGAAATATAGCCAATTGAAATTGTGTCCATCTTTCTGAATCACCCTGTATATATAGTAGTGACATCACATGCTTCGACCACTCGTTGACAGAGAGCAGAGCCGTCCTGACAATGTTGTGTTCGTGGAACCTACATCGGGTTTGTTTTTACAAATGTGAATCAAACAGAAATGCATACGGCCGGCGCGTAAGGCTGACAATTTACCGCAATCTGTGAGTTGATTGTCTAGATAATGTGGGAGCCTCGACGTCTCACAACCACATGGGCCTTGATGGCATTTTACAGGGATAGCTTTACCTTTACGTAGACAGTATATTTTAATACTCCAACACAAAGAAAACTAAATAATAGGCAGCTTCATAACTTATAATATTCACGGAACGGGAAATATTATGTTATTATGCAGGTAAATTGAAAGAGACAGAGGTGAGCGGGGTCCATAGGACGCAAGACATTAAAGGCAATGTTTCACTCAGAGAGTCTGTATATTAGAAACAACTTTTGAAGAATCAGACTTTTTCGGAGGATAATATAAGAATTAATTGTAAAAGAAGATAATGTAAGGATATATACTGGATTCAGGTATGGACCAGTAGCAGAAGTATATGAGCACAAAACTGGACATCCGATAAAAATTATTTTCACCAGCTGAGCCAGAATCGTCTTTTTTGGAAGGGCTCTGTTTTATGTAGTTGGAGGTTGAAATACTGCTTCTATTTCGCAGTTGTGAGACAGAGATACAGAGATACATGCAGTGTTGCAGGGCACAAGAAAGTGCAGGAAATGGCAACAATATCTGCTTAAAACTGGAAACAGTGTTTTAAGTAAGTTGCTGTGTCTGGTGTTGCACATGTGGGCTAATTCTAACAAGAAAACATCCAAACCTATTTATTGAGCAAAGTGTTCCCGTGTTTGGTGTTGCAGATGTGGGATAATTCTAACAAGAAAACATCCAAACCTATTTATTGAGCAAAGTGTTCCCGTGTTTGGTGTTGCAGATGTGGGATAATTCTAACAAGAAAACATCCAAACCTATTTATTGAGCAAAGTGTTCCCGTGTTTGGTGTTGCAGATGTGGGATAATTCTAACAAGAAAACATCCAAACCTATATATTCAGCAAAGTGTTCTCGTGTTTGGTGTTGCAGATCTGGGCTAATTCTAACAAGAAAACGTCCAAACTTATTTATTCAGCAAAATGTTCCCGTGTTTGGTGTTGCAGATGTGGGCTAACTCCAACAAGAAAGGTTGGGAACGTATTCCTTCAGGAGAATGTTGTCGTGTTTGGTGTTGCAGATGCCCAGCATGGCTGTCGCCTATTGCCGTTACCTCTCCGGGCTCAAGAAAGCCGACTGTCTGCTTGCAGCGAAGACCCGAAACCACGAATTCATGCGTCTCATAGTGGAGCCCCCCGTGCCTCGCCGCCGTCCAGACCTTACCGCCTTCATCCACAAACCGCTCGAGGTCAGTATTTCTTGTGCCTTCAGCGTCCTTCTAAGTCCGCTGTCTATAGACCCTCTTCAGTGTCTTGCAAGGCAGACAACTTTCATGTTGCATTCATCATGATTCATTGCCGTTCAAAATACAGATGTTGGTTGAGGCACTATGCCACAAGTCGGAAGATCGCGGGTTCGATTCCCTATGAGATCACTGGATTTTTCAATATACCTAATCCTTACAGCCGCACTGTAGCCCTGGGTTCGACTCAGCCTCTAACAGAAATGAGTACCGTGAATCTTCCTGGGGGTAAAGGGCGGCCGACTGGAGCGTAAGGCTGACAACTTCACCGCCATCTGTGAGCAGATTTTCAAGAAAATGTGGGAGCGTCGACGTCTCACAGCTCAAAAAAATTATGTATAACGTTTATTCAAAGAAAATTATATGTACATTGTTAAGGAGTGTGAATCATCTTCATCTTTTCTTCTAGGCGGAATGAATCAACCTGGAATGCGAACTCGATTTGCAGACAACCCCCCAAAAAATAAATCGAAATAATTAGTTTATTATTTATGACACATATCTAATTCTCTTTTACCAGGAAGCTGTCTAGAGACATTTGTTTTTGCCTACGCTTCAAAATTTGGTGAAAATGCGACACAGCATTATCATTAAATACATTTGTAGTGCGCATAGCCACTGCCTTATTAGGGTGATGCTTTTCAATGTACGATGCAACAGTTTCCCACGCTTTCAGCATTTCTCTTATTGCGCCAGAAGATTCTTGTTTTGCTGTTACTTCCTACTCCTCCTTTGACAAACTCTCCTCCACAACTTTTTGCTGTGAAACACAATGCAACTCCAAATCGTGCAACTCGTTGATGTAGACCGATTGTATGTGCGTGCTAGATCAGCCACGCTCACACCTCGTTCTCGCTTTTCAATGATTTTACGTTTCATTTCTACAGTTATTTTTGTTCTCTTATGAGTGTCTTTTTGCGGCTTTTTCTTCGGGGACATTTTTGCAAGGGTTATTAAACTTTGCACAAAAAAATCACAAATAATATGTCTGAACACAAGTTTGGAAAAATGTGTGATCACAAGCGACACTGAGATTCTAGCGGAACGAGTGCTAAACGCAGACTGATGTAGCAAGCGCCCAATCCGGGACTTCCCCCTCGTCACTCGTTATGCGAAACGTCGCTCGTTAAGCGAGTGTTTTTTTTTTACAATTTGTTTTGCTCGTTTTGCGAATTACTCGTTATAAGAGGTGCTCGTTAAACGGGGATCCACATAACTTTAAGAGTAGTACCGGCTTTCATCATGTAACTTGCGGCATCAGTCACAAAGAGCAGTACGCGCTCATACTGAATGTCATTCGGCCATAGTAAATTCATGGAATTGATACAAAAATTCGGAAACAGCGGAGCTCTTTGTGGTTTCAAATGCTCTACCGCAAGAAGATATGGGGTAGAATGTTCATTCTTATTAAAGGATCCAACTATACAATTTGCAGTAAACCGTCCCTCACAATTTTGTGTTTCGTCAATTGATACCCACATAAAATTATCTTGAATCTTATCTCTAATGCATTCAATTGTAAGATCGTAACACTGCCTAACGTAATTTTTGCGCACAGTAGATTCATCCGGCACTTTGCACTGTGTATACTTCTCTATGAAGTTTCTCAGAGTAGGATTGGTTAGTTTCCACAGCGGAATATCTGCCGCTAAAATGGCTTCGCATAAATCAAGGGAAAACTGTGAAAAACTATTATTAGAAAATTCACTAAGAAATTTTTGAACAGGAACACTTTTCTTGGATTTAATTTGAATATTATCTTTCTATATATTAGTGTTCAAATTCTGAAGAACTTGAAAGCGTTTTTCACAACCAACTGTTTTCTCACACGCTCGGCAATAAAGAATTTCGTTATCCATACTTATCATCTCTCCTTCGAACTCCCGCTGATACAGCTGTAATTTAGTTTTCTGACTTATTTCATTATCGGCATGAGTACAGAAAGCTAAACAAACTTAACTACAGACTGGTCACCACTAATGTGAATGGCGCCCTGCTTCAAATGAAGAAGCCTAACGAACCTCATGGAGATTTCGGAAATAAATAAGTGAAGTCCCTTATCGGTTGAACAGTATTACGTTGATAGCGGCTACATGTGAACGCTTCCGACTAATCTCTTCGCGGCCACTTTGATGGTACGCGGATGAGGTAAGATACGAGTAGAGGGATCGGGGAAGTCCCGTCCTGGGTATTGCATCAGAAACATGAATCATGACGAAATGTTGAGTCAAATATGCAAAATATTCTAATATGGAAAAGAAAAAATTTATACACACAACCATGATTGAAAATTTGAACATAAAATTAAAAAATATATATGATAACCATTTTAAAAAGGAAATATGCAGTATAAATAGAGATCTTGGAAAATATGATGCTTATTCATAAAACAGGCAAAATATGCATTTATATGCACCATCAAACCATGTCCAAAATTTAAGAAATGAAGTAATTCATACATATATCAAAACGAGCATACGTGTACTTTCTGGTTGCAAGAAAGAAATATGCATTTGTATTAAAATCCGGTCCCTAGTCATAACCTAGGGTGCTGATGCAAACGGGTGCCTGAGTTCTGCACGTAAGGACGTCGCTGCATTTAATGTTGAACTGAGTTGTCTTTTCGTTTCAGCACTATAGAGACGTTCTGAAACTGCTGCAGACAATCCTAAACTACACGAAAGTGAAGGATGAAGACTATTCTGCCTTACTGAGTGTCGTGCAAGAATTGCAGGTTCGTATTTTTAATAGCATGAAATCCTCCCATCAACCTTTCGCTTCCTCCTGTCAGCTCTGTCGCTCGCTACGACACCATGATGGACTCTTTTTTATTGCTAGCGTAGTGGGACTAAGTCCCGTGTACTGCGGCCACTTCTAGCTTATTGTCCCAGCCCCCGATGATAGGTGAGGATGATTGTGGAGCAGTTGGTGGAATGAAGATTGGCAGGGGAACCGAAGTACTCGGAGAAAACCTGCCCCAGCGCCACTTTGTCCACCACAAATCCCACTTGACCAGAGCCGGGATCGAAACCGGGCTGCCGCGGTGGGAAGCCAGCGACTAACCGCTTGAGCGGTTGGACATAAAGCGGAAATGGTCTATATGTTGCTCTGTCATGTCTACAGAGTGCAGCAAGTGTTTTGTATTTACATTTTTCTTACAATTAAAAAGATACAGTAAATTAATATATCCGAAAAAGTGGAGAAGTACAGATTTTTGGGAACGACAGTGGCAAATACAAATTGTATTCACGAAGAAATTACGAGCATGTTAAATTCGACAACCCTTTTGTCTTTCCGTCGACTGTCTAAAGGCGTAAAAGTTAAAATAATCAAAATTTTAATTTTCTCTCTTCTTTTTACATGGATATGAAACTTGGTCTTCCTTCGTAAAGAAGAAAATATATGAGGGAGCATGAGAACAGGGCGTTGAGAGGGATAACAGAGACGAAGTGACAGGGGGCTGGAAAATATTACATAATATGAACTGCATAAGTTTTGCACATCACAGAATATTACGTGGATCATCATCTCAAGGAGGGTAACATGAAGGAGGCGCGTAGCATGGACGAGAGAGATTACGAATTCGTGTAAAATTTGGGCAGAAAAACAGAAAGGGGAAGAGACCTCGATTAGAACCAGGCTCAGACGTGAGTATAATATTAATATGGAAGCATGTGGATAAGAATAGGGACTGGTAGCGGGCTCTTGTGATCACCGCAATGAATCCTCGCATTCTGAAGCATACGAAGAATTTGTTTTGGGTGGCTTAGCAACTGCTCATTTCTCAAGACTGATTCTGGTTGGTTGGTTAGTCACTTAGCTAGTTATCTAGCTGGTTATTTGGTTGGTTAGCGAGTTAGTCACTTGGCTAGTTGCTTATCTAGTTGGTTGGTTCGTTAGTAAGTTAGTCACTTAGCTAGTCATTTCGTTGGTTAGATATTTATCTAGTTAGGTTGGTTGGCTGACTAGTTGGTTAGAAATGCAGCTGCCTGGCTCACATTTCTCTCGGCACTGCTTGCTGTTGCAGACGACATACAGGGACGCGACGATGGGCTCAGGACTGATGGAGCCGGAAGGTGAAGGACGGCCATTGTTGTCGCTCCAGGACCTCGAGAGTCGTCTTGTGTTCACTCGCTGCAAAGTAAGTCCTGAGTGCACAGCGTTAACTTCAGGTGACTCCACCTGCTCTGATATTAGACAGCTCTGAATTGCGCCCAACGGAGTTTATGCACATCTTTTAGTCTTAATTGTTTTTATAATTGCATCACGCGGTTACGCAGATGAAACCGCAGTAAGAAACAAAGCCAACCAGTGAAATAAAATATAATTCAAGAAACCAATTCTGAACCATTCTTTCGTCAGAAAGTATATTACGTAAGTGTTCAGATGAGAAAAAAAAAATACTGGTCATGAGTACCAAGGGGCTTGTCTCCAGTCGTAAAGTAACTCTGACTTTGATTCGCCATTAATTCAGAAAACCAAATTCAACGGTCTCTGTCTGAAGCAACTGCTTCTAACCATTCTAACACCTTCGCTTTCACACTGCACTTATCAGAAGGACGAACGGGCGGAACCTGGGAACCATCTGACAGAGTGATTATTTTTCTTCTCCCTAAAATGGATGTCTTCCCTTTATCCCATTCTTTTATTTTCCACCCACTATTCTACTGTTCTTTATTACCCCATCTCTCTTTTTCATACTTCTAAGCAGAACACTTCCTGTCGCTTTACCTTCTTTATTTCCCTACGCTTTTTCTTCTCTCTACCCTACTTCTACTAGAAACACGACCGGAACTCCTAGAGCAGACAATATCCCCAGATTCCACAGTGCAAACCTGCATATTGAGATAAAATGTGTATGTGTGAACTCGTGCAGTTTGACGAAACCTCTCAGCTTCATACCCTCTCGTGCCTGTGTGCAGCCCTTTGTCCTGAGCTCTCCCGGGCGTCACTGGATATTCGGCGGGGACCTGAGCCGCGTTGAGGGACGCGCAGTACGTCCTTTCTGGGCGCTGCTCTTCACCGACCTTATTGTGTTCGCCAAGGTGAGCCGTGACCGAGTGCTCTTCATCACGGAGGAGCCTCTGTCTCTGCTGTCCGTCACACAGGCCGTCTTCAATATCCGCAAGAAAGGTACCGAACTGACTGTGCTGACTCTTCACTTATTGTGAAAACTGCCTCAGTGGAGTCTGATGGACCCTGGCAGGGGCTGAGTTATGTATCTGTTCCCCAGTCATAGCTTTATTTTCATTCTTGTTCGAGGGGAATTGCTTGCATAGTACACATTATTTTTAGTATCTAATTGCATAAAGCTCACATCAAAAATCTTCAAAATCCGTACAAGTTCTCAAGCTCAAATAATCGGACTGTGGGAGACACGGATATATACATTCCAGCCATATTTGCATACTCTTCTTGTGTGACAGCCCCCTCTATTCAAGGTCTTGTCGTATCTCACTTTCTAAAATCCAAATGACATCGAACGTAAAGGGACGGAAAGTTTGAACATGACCTCACTGCCCTTCCGTTTCCTGTTTCAGCCAACGAGTTCCGGCTACTTATAGAAGGCGGTGCCGAAGGAACAGAAAGCCCCGCGCCAGGTGGTTGTGGGCCCGAACTTCCGCTTACGAGGAACCCGAAAAGGAGCAGCAGAAGACGCACCATATGTCTGCGCGCGCCGACTGCAGAGCTCAAGGCAGTGTGGCAGATGCTCATCCAGAGGCAGATGTAAGAATCCCCACCTTCCTCTTCCACTTACTCGGCCAGGTTACAGCTCAGCATCGAAATTGAATCGCCAGCCAGCATAGTGCCCTTTAAAATTTCAACGGAAATGTCTTTATAAACTTATTTATCTTTATCATCTTCACTCCTTTTTGGTCTCTTAGTACGTGGTGTTGGCTCAGCTATGGTATGCTGATGACAAAAGTGACACACTGTAGGACCGCCTACAAATAGTATTTACCCTTCTCATGACTCAACCCCGGACATGTAGTATCACGGCATGTCTTCCTTTCCATCCTACCTCGAGGTGCATCTGGTAGAAATTTGTCTTAGTATTCTAAAAGTCCGGAGTTTAATTCTTCACCCGGAAAGTGGCTGTAATACGTTAAATTCGGCTACGGCCACTTCCTTTATTTCAAGTTATATCATATCATCTGACGGCTTCCCCTGTCTCTTCACTTTCCCACCTCACAATTTTCTGCAGATATTTCTTTTTACCTGGGTCACGATAACCGTGACGGTGAATATTTCGTAACTTCTGTAAGTTCGCTCTGCTGGATATCCACTGAGTGACTCACTCCATGCGCAACCTGACGCCCGCAAATTCGCCGTACAGACTTGCATAACAACATCCCAGGCGTCGAAGAAAATCTTAAAATCCTGAGAAATTTACACTTCATCTGTTTCCATCGGAAAAGAAGTTGGGATATTTTCTTCTTCTCATTGTGACGACCGTCATACAGGGCTAACTTGCCCAATTTTGTGAATTTCCACTTTTATGGAGCCATCTATGGAGAACTGTTGAAACTACCTGCAGAACATGCACACACCTCGAGTGTGGTACGTCACAAACTGGATATGGTCACTCTGGGGCTAATGGCTCCATATCCGTCGAAGGATGTGACGCCGTGCAGTCTGATTGCGTTGCATACCCTGAAAATGGAAATTGTACATTCCCCGGAAACGTCAGTATACTTGTACCAGACTATATGGCGTAACAGCCCAAGAGATAGTAGAGTTCAAACCAGTGCAGTGAGAACACGAGACACAGAACATGTAGCACGCATTCAAGAAGAAAATAAATGCAAATAAATTTGTGGTGGAAAAACTGGGGAATACGAGGATAATATTAAAATGAATTGTAATTCAATGCAATTGGAGGATGTGAACTTGGCTAACTTGGCTCAGGACAGAGACAATCAGTAGGCTATTGTGAAGAGGTAATGAACCTGCTGCTCTCACAAAATCCTGAAAATTTCTTTCAAGCTGAAGAACTCTTTCTTTTCAAGGGTACTGTTACATGTAGTTAATTAGTTATTTAATTAATTAGTCTGATCGTTAATGTATTGATTTAATTCTTAGTTGATTAGATAGTCAGTTGGGCCGTGCCATAGCTCCCACCGCAGCGACCTGGGTTCGACCCCAGGTCAGGTCATGTGGGATTTGTGGTGGAAGAAGTGGCACTGGGGCAGGTTTTCTCCGAGTACTTCGATTTCCCCTGCCAATTCTCATTCCACCGTCTGTTCCATACTCATCTATCATTCGGGACTGGTACAATAAGCCAATTAGTGGCCGACGTACGAAGTGGTTAGTTGGCTGTTTAGCCGGTTAGTCAGTTATATTGTATGTTCGTTCTTTCGTTTGTTGGTTAGATGGTCGGTCGGGCGGTCAGTTATCCGAAGAGTTGTATAGTGAAGCAGGAAGCAAGTCAACGTATCCCAGCACTCGACTGTCCGAACTGCAGCATATGCGCTTGCGCAGAAGGATGTTTCAGTGAAGCGTTGCGCTGTTCACTGTTCAACTGTTTCAGAATCTACCTGAACACAACGAGAGGTGGGACTCCAGCCAGCAGCCCGATGGACTCGCCCGACCCACCCACGACGCTCTCCGTCGCCACCCTGGACTCGTTCTCCCTGCGTCGCCAGGTGCGTCCACCACTTGAGGAACCAGCTCCCACCCCTTCATGCCCCAGTTTCTCCCCCCGATACAGTCTTACCCCCCGTTCGAGCCCCAAGCGTTCATCATCTCCTTAGCACCCACTGCAGCTAGGGGTGAGCAAGCTTCTCGAGGCGCCACGTCGAGCCCGCCGATTCATTTTGTCTGTACAAAGTCGCATTAGTTTATTTATTGGCCAACAGAGCGAGCAGCTATAGCTCAGTCCGTAGAAAGCTAGGTTATCGGCTGGAATCTCCGACGGATCGGGGCTCGATTATTAGAAGAATCACGTATCCGAGGTTCCGTGACGAATAGTAATGGGTTCTGGATTGGGCGATAGCATTTATTGGCACTGCTATTGCAATTATAACCAATTATAGCAGCTCACAACCAGTGACTGTCCCAGATTCGCTCCATTCCTTACTGGACTACGAGTCTCTTCCCTTCTGCTGTGATGAATGAGGAATGAAGACTCCTTTGCGACTGACCTCTCCTGAACCGAACCAACTGCCAGGCTAACTGAATATAGATCACTATCTCCAACTGTTTTATCCGTTACAACGGTAATGTGTGTTTGGCGAGCCGTTGGATAGCAATGGACTTCGACGTCTGTTTGTTGCTGCGAAAAAGTGTTAGCGAATCGTTGCCTAGCAGTAGTCATATTCTTCACAGTATTGCTTCAGTTCCATAAAAAGATGAGACCGCATTCTGGAAAATGATATAAATTTTAGGTAGTTTAATGTTCTAGAAATGAAATTTTGCCTCTTCTGACGCTTCGCTTTGCTCACCCCTGTTGTGAATTTCCTCGAGATCAGTGATTTTCGAATTGTATACAGTGGCGCCTCCTGAGCTTTGCAAAGATTTCAACGCCCTCTCTCTTGTGTCTTTGCAAAGAATCTTTATCTGTAATTTCTGAATTCAGCAATTTTTAGGTTTCTATCAATAATTAATTATTGATCATGATTTTATAGATGTTTTGATATTTTTATAATTACAATCAATTGAATTCTGCTATATAAATTTAGCAGAATATCATTGCCCCCCCCAAGGGGGCCAAACCACAATTCGGAAACCGCTGAACTATGTCACCAATTTTATATGGAAAGAGCTGAACAGTGTGGTTACATAGAATGCGGGGAAATTTCTGATGAAACTTTCGGAACAATGAAACTAGTACATTTGTAACTGAACAAATAATTTAAGCCACAGAAAGAATGTAATTTCCATAACGTGTTGAGGAGTGTTTTCTTACAGGTGTAACTCAGCCGAAAATGTATAATATCGGACTCATATATTTGACCAATTACAATCTGATTTACCCATAGACAATATGAATCACGTCTTACGTAGCGGAGGTTGCATCTGAGGTTTTAGTGGAGGTGAAGAGTGAACACTTACGTGCTGTGACACCGTGTGGTCTGGCAGTCGATTTGAAGCAACATACCGCTTTCATGTTCTAACTAAAGATTTTTAATAACGTACATATAACAATATATAAAAAATGGCTCAAAGGTAAAAAGATAAAGTTATTCCTGTATTTAATTTTGTAATAATTATGCTATGAAGGGATATAAGGAGAGTGGAGGTATAGCGCCAGCATTTTTGACCTCGGCAGTAGATGGAGGTGAGGTGACTTACATAAAGTAAATATTTATCGCGCGAGATTCATTTGCACACATTTGTGTCCAGACCCGTATGGCACGGTCCGTTTATTATAAATTTGCATAGTGTTACATGAAACCAAAATAATGTCACGTGATTGAGCGTGGCTGTAGATTGGTAATCGGGTTTATTGAACTCATAACTACGACAATCTCACCTAGTTACGCACTTCAAAAATCATTGTAACAGTTGGTTCGTTAGTTATGTAACGCTGTTGTCATTGTCGAGATTTGGCATAGATTGGTTTGTAGGATGTGTAATGAATTTGGAAGGAACCGGTCGTCGCCTAATAAGACTGCTACCTAGGATTATCCCGGGGAGTGACTGAAGAACATCACGAAGAGCCTCAGTTGGTATATCCGGGGCCTGCACCGAGATTAAAACCAAATACCTCTCGAATGCAAGGCTAGAGTGTTACCTGTAAACCAACTTGTTAGTTATGTAAATTGTAATGTATTTGTAAGTTTAATTTAATTACAGATTACCGAAACACAGCAAACCCTCGGTAATACCGTTACAGTTAAACCAGATGTCGGATAACGAAGAGCTCTCTTCACAGTTGAGTACATAGTTCAAAAGAAGCAGGGGATTTAGGAGCCAGAAGGATTAGAGCAGGAGGACTTTCAGACTGTGTTAAGGGCAACTGGAGGCACTGAAACCTATGTAAACGCATCTCATGATTGCAAAGGACAAGTTATAGTTGTATTTCAGCCAGAGAATGTCACGGGGGCACGCGGTAGCGTAGTTCATTTAGGCATTATGTTACAAGACTTAAAGTCGCGGGTTCGACTCGCAATGGGTGGATATTTTCGATTTATCTGATCCTTCCAGCCGCACTGTTGCCATGGGGTCGACTCAGCCTCTAACAGAAATGGGTACCAGGAATCTTCCTGGGGGTAAAGGGAGACAGTTGCGTAAAGCTGACAACCTCACCCCCATCTATGAGCCGATTGTCTAGAAAATGTGGGAGCCTCAACGTCTCACAACCCTATGGGCCTCCACGGCCTGTTAGAGGGATACCTTTACCTAGGAATACACGCGTGTTCAAGCTCACTAATTTAGTATGCCCAAATGCCTCCTTAGTTTGTGTATAAAAATGAGTATGAGTATTTCCTAATTTATCCAGGATCTTTGAAACTCTGCTTTTCGCCAACTGGGTGAGCTTCCATCATCAGGTGTAACTGAGAGATGTGTCTATCTGCAACGAGTCAATCTTCTCCAATTTTATAATGGTCCCAACTGAATAGAAACCTTTGCTGTCTTCTACATGATGACAGAAACAAACTATTTTCGAAGGGCGGGGTTTGAAATAATAAAACTCGAGCGGCGAAAATTTTCTGAAATAAGAGTCATCTTCAAATGAAATTATTTATAGGTTATTCGACTGGTAATTCATACTTATTTTTCTGTACGATATTCGCGCTTTTTTTTTTTGTAAATGTCCCTTATATTCTGGCAAATAGACATTGCGTCCGAAGCATCTAAGTGCATCATATTTTGCCTTTCATGCAATGTCATGCAACTTCATGTACAATAAAATATGTCAGGTGTAATGTTACATACGAGTATATGTTTTATAAGATAGAAATACGTGTCTTATAAATAGGATATAAGTGTTCAATTAATATCAGTATGTATAAGTTATCTGAATAGTATAGTGACAGAAAAGAGCTTACAAGAAAATAAACGAAGGAAATATAAAGAGATATAAAATTAATT